TGTTGTCTCACTAATATATAATTATATTTTGTATTGTAATCTCATTGTGATTACAGACACCATAACTGTTAATACTCCTAATACAACATCCGGCATACTACATGCTATAAGAAATTATACAAAAATGATTGAAGTTAGCATTTATAATAATTTTAAAATAATAACAGGCACAATCAGCAATGCAACAGATGACCATGGTTCGGGATCGGTATGGACTATGTTCACTTACTGTAGTCGTCTGAATAGATATATTTAATTTAAAATCAAATTGATGATAATTTTAATTATTTTATTTCTCATTTAATAAATGCAACAGATGACCATGGTTCGGGATCGGTATGGACTATGTTCACTTACTGTAGTCGTCTGAATAGATATATTTAATTTAAAATCAAATTGATGATAATTTTAATTATTTTATTTCTCATTTAATAGGCGTCCACTATATTCAATCAAATGACATCCTATTTGCTATTTACTAATGTATTCATTGTTACTGTATTTAACTTTATGAACAAATAATTAAGCTATTGTGTATTATGTATGCAAATATCTATTGACTAATAATAAACATCCAGTTCAATTAAATGTAAAATATATGATTAATTTTAATGTTATGTAATTAATTACAAGAATTACAGTATAATTGGTTTAATAGTTATTGTTTAATAGAATTAATTTAAAAATTATTAATTGATATCATACTGTACGCTGGTTAATTAATTAAACAAATTACAATTCAAATAGTTACAGTTTTTAAATGATTTTAAATGAAAAATTAAATCAATATTAAATTAAATGATATAAAATTTTAATGGCAGTCATGATATGATAAGTAATAAGTAAGATACTTATTATCATATTTAAAAATAAACATAATTTAATTAATGAATAATTAATTTAGTTGAATTCATTGCTGAAGTTATATTTGAGATTTAAAAATATTAGTATTTAGAAAATAATCTTGGTAACCACTAATTAGTAGAATTCTATTATTTCAGCGGTTATATAATTAGATATAGTTGCAATAGTAAAATAATAAGCAATTAGTCCGGCAATTCTGGGTCTCATAACCTTGGTCACCCGAAAGAAGTTCAATATAGAAATCGTCGCTTCGATTAACAATAACACGACAAGTACCAGGGTCAGTTGAACCGGGGTCATGATACGTATTAATGTGATGGCTGAGTGGCAACTGGAAATCCGTATGTGAAGACGTGTGGCCAACCTATCGATGACATCCACTCGTCTGACAACACATGAGCTCTGATTAGCCGTCGAGTTGGACGACACGTGCGACACAACCTGGTTGTAGCCAAACCACGGGCCAAACTGGTCGTACCATAACAAGGCATTTATGAGAGACATAGATATGGACAGACCCAACATTAGGTCATTGATAACTATATTACAATATGATTGAAAATTCATTGTATGCTTGATAACTAATGTATGAAAAACACAATTCAACTTAATTAAGCACATAAAAAAGTCAATTGAAATACATGCTATGAATTTTGTGATATAAAATGAATGCACTATCAGGTATATTTATATAGACGTGTTTGACTTGTGACCTAGATTGAAATGATCGGGGTATCTATAAATAGACAGAAATAGAAAGTGTGTGCATTGTATACCAGACCAGTAAGTGGTCATCCAATGTAACCTTTATTAGGTCTCCAAAGGATACAAGTAAAGCCTTAAATTAACGATAAATGTGTTTAAAAACTTTATTTGACATTAAATTGTAGACAATATGATAGAAAATCTATTACTAATAATGTATTTCATAAGAATTCATAATTAAAAGAAAATCAAAAATACTTGTAATGAATAAAAAACATGAAAAATACAGAAAAAACTGATGAAAACATTTGATTACAAAAACACAATTCAATGAAATCAGAGCTCCTTTTTGAGGGCCGGCTGTACGTTGACTGTGGCGGCCGGGGATGTAAGGGTGGGCTGAGTCTGATCTCCGGTCACTTCGCAAATCCATTGGCCGTTATCGCGGACGGCCTGAGCGTTGGCCACGACTAGACTACAGTCCCCTCCCGTGCGGTCCGACTGTCGCCACCGATAGTCCGCCGAAACGCGACCCACGTTTGAGCCGATATTACGGCCATCCCTGAGCCACAAGCAGTCGCCTACCAGTCCACTCACTTGGCACTCCAAAATAAACCCCTCACCTTCTCTGACGCCTATATTTTGCGGAGTCTTTAGGAAACTCTGGGGAACGACAGCACCGGCGGTGTTAGGGCTGGTGTTGACGAGCGTCGGCTGCTCAGCCGTCACCGTCTGATTGGCGATCACATCAGTGAACCATTGTTTCAGGAGCTGTAGGTTCGCCTCGTCGGCCGTTTTACTGGCGCTGGTGTTTAACGCGTTTGTGTCCATCCATTGTGTGCTACCGGCGCTCACAACACCTAAGTATGCGTCCAAACCGGCGGACAACCCGTTCTGACTCCGGATGTGATCCAAAAGTACGCCAATTGATGGGAACGTCTGGGCGTCGATCCAAATGATCTCAATGGCAGACAGATTGATAGGCGAGGGGACAGTCGTATCAACAACGGCAGCATCAGCTGTGCTATCAATTGGTGCTATTATTGGGTCGACAGCACCGGTAGCTGTGGCAGAGGCGGCGGCTGCGGCTGCGATGATGGCGTTGTTCTCTCGGGTGATATTTCGGACCACTTTTGTCAACAGCCTATGAAAGTAATGGCCGACGGCTGACGTCCGGTCACTGATGGCCACAACGGTTGTGCGGTTGGGGTCCCGGAGCTGCGGGTCGAACACGTTCTGCTCAGTCAAGTACTTGAGGACAACCCCCTTGTTTTGGGCGATGAAGTCCTCGATGTCCTGAGCAGTGGCCGGGTTTGCGGTCATACTTATGGCCAACTTTTCGGTCGGTTTCACTAAATTTATTTGTCCCACGAGTTGGAGCTTCAGGTGTTTGGCCACCTGAAGGGCATATATTATGGTTATTATCATTAGAGTTATACACAAAAAACATGTTAATTTAAATTATACAGAATATTCTCTAATCTACAATAATTTAAAGCTGAATAACAGAATATTCTGTAGAATATGAGAATAATATAGTAATTAGTAATAAAATATTTGCAAAATACTGACCATTCGGTCGGTGACTAAATAGAAAGGTATGTCTGGACTGTATTTGGCGGCCACTGTCTCATAGATTGCGAGGTCGGGAGTGGAGGGCATGAAAAAGCCGATGAGTTTGGGTCCGGTCACCAAATCGTAGGCCTTTTTATCTAACTTTCCTGTTATGAGCCGAACATGAGATGCGCTAAGTCTCAGGACATATGATAGCAGTGCCGAAGCGCTTCTCCGTCCAAAGTACAGGTGCTCTTTGCCATTAACGTACACCAAAACAGATCCCTTTCCACCAGTGATTGGGGAGACCGTCTGGTCAGTGATGGACAGCTCGCAGACATTGATGTTTCTGTTGGCTAAGAGTTGGGCCGACTTTACAGCGAAGTCATCGGTAGTACGGGTGCTCTGATCCCTCACTACGATTACGACAGTCTTTTGAGCGTTAGTTTGAATGTATTGTCCGACTGTCTGTCCAGTGAGTTGACATACAGTGGCGGTGGGGCTGTCGGCAGGTATGGCCACATTCAACAGTTTTAATAGTTGTGAGGTTTCCTCATCACTGGTACACCATATGAATGGTGCACTCAAACCGATCACTAATAAAATTGATAACAATTTCATTGTCTCTTAAAATAAATATAAAATATGATTTAATAGATATTTAAAAAGTTGTTTAATTAAAAATAATTTTGTTTAAAACAATAATTCACGTATAGTTTCCCACATTAACTGTTTCGACAAAATACTGATATTTTTCAGCAATAAATGTTTGTTTTAAAAAGTATTTCACAAAAATATAACAAAAATGTTTTCGAAGTCGAAATGATCAGTGAATTGAAAACAATATCTCACTTAATATATACGACAAAAACTATTGATCTTTAAACGCAAACGTGTTATTAAATGAATGGTTTAGTGACTAAACCAATGGTATTATCATAACTTATTTGTACATTAAATGCGTGTTTAATTCAATGAAAAATACAGCTATTTTTAGCTATGATTTGCTTTCATACGGAATAACACTTTATTTGTGTGACTATAGTACGAAAAATAGACTCATATTTAATACGATAATAATAGCCGTTAATTGTTTTACTGATAAAATACTTGTGGAAACTTACTATCAGTAGTAAGACATATAAGGGAAGGGCTGATAAGAGGTATTGTCAGCGATTCCTAACGTATAAACTATTTGTTATATTCATCGCCTTATCTACTAATGAAACGATTGATTCACTGCATAATTGACGCACATTTATAGCCATATCTCCAGTCACCGGCACTCATGTATACCATCGACATGGGAGATACCGGTGCTATCGATGAGTGTAAATGGATGTTGACGTCTATCCCCGCAAACACTGTAATCAATTATTTTTTTAAAATGAGTTGTTTTTAGGCTCAAAATTGTGATGAACTAATGTATAGTAATATAAGTATATTCCGTATATTAGTTGTTATTTTTCGCATTTATTTCAAACGATTATCAATTTATTGACTTTTAATAGAAAATATTTTTCAAATGAGCTATTATTTAATTATTAAATTATAATATCCTGAAATTATTTAATTTCAAAGTTATGTTTATTATTAATTAGTTGAAAACTTTCACTAAATTATGAAATTCTTTAGTAATTTAGTCACAGTTTTATTACAAATCATATAAATGTAGACAATATTTATTGAAGTAAAAGTAAAAGTTATAGTTATGTCAACAAAACTAATGAAAATAGTACAGTACTATTATTTAAAATAAAATGTTTATTGTATACAAGTTATTATTATATAAAACTGACGCTATTTTACTGGTTATAGGAATTTGTTGTCTATTTTATGTCTAAAACAGACATTTAATGTCAAAATTATATATTTATTTCCTTTTCTAACAGATATAAAAACAAGTGAAAAACAATATTTTTCAAAATGACAATTTCCTATACAATTAATAAAACAAAAAATATTTATTACAAACATTTTAATTATTTATATAAACACAACAAAAGTTAAGTAAATATAATATACAAATTATTTAAATATTTATAAAATTCTAAAATAACATAATTATTTACTAATTAATACGAGATAATGAGCCATTATTTGAAAACATAAAACTTTTTACACATTTAATATTTAATTTAATGACATATTTCTAATACAAATACAAAAATCATAAAAATTAAATTGACATTGATGTCAGTGATTAGATTGATAATTGTCAAAATAATGCAAATATTCATTTAATTTTTAATTACTTTCAGAAATTTTTGAAAGTAACCTGCGAGTTTGTAATCATTCATTAAACAATTTATGAAATAATTGTTAGGACACAAATAGTATATTGGATTTGTATTTGAAATAGGCTTCAATTATCGTGTAGCTATTAAGAGTAAAAATATATAACAATATTAATAATAAAACATTTTTGTCCTCCTAATGTCCTCCTGGCCAGGATCAATTTGGACTAGTTGTCCTCCCAGGCCATGAAAATAGTTGGCAGCCCTATATATCACTAAAACATTTAACGCCTCTGTAAATGATTTATTCATATAATCTAAATTTAATGACCATAAAGACATACACTAGGATGATGGCTAATTGTATAAAGATGGTCATGATCACTCTTTCAAATCTCTCAAGACTTGGTGGTGTCGTATACGTACTATTAATCTTCAGACGTATTAAACGAATGCACAGAAATATATCAATCATATACACAATGACCAGGATAATGGCTATGGTTATAAGCACGCCTATATAAACAATGATAAGTTGCCGAACAATGGGTGATAGGGGGTAAATATGTGGTAGATTCTTTAATATTAATTGATCCAGTCGTTTGTCACAATAAATGATCGTGAATAAAGCCTGTGCCACAAGTAATAAGCCAATGGTTATCAATATAACTAGGATTAGCGAATGTGCTGGTAGTTCACTAGGATAATCATTGTGAACATAAAAATATATGACATAAATTATAAAAATAACTATGGAGTGACTGGACATGGACTTCACGAATAAAAGGGTTACCCTTAAAAGGGGTCAACCATTTCTACAGAGCTATTGTTACAATGAATGACCAAAAAGCTGTATAAACTCCAACATAATACCCGACAATATATTAAATATCAATCTAATAATTAGTTACTAATTAATACCAAAATAATGTGCAGTTATTTGAAAACTTTTTACTAATTGTCATTTATTTAATATTTAATTTAAAGACATATTACTAATACAAATACAAAAATTATAAAAATTAAATTCACATTAAAAAGTTAACCAATATTTTTGAAAATGATAATCAATTACGAAATAAATGTGTAATGAATTTGTACTGAATTTGTAATGAATTAAACTATTTTTGCTAATAATTTAGTTGGGGTTTGACTGACGGGACAGGTGTTTGACGACATCCGCCACCTTATAGTCTTTGAACAGACACTTCGAGAACTTTGTCTGACATTCCTTGCGCTGAGAGACGGACTCATTGTCATCGACGGGATCGGCGGCCATCAGCTCATCGGCGGTGACGGTGTCTGACGGGAGGGCCGTCTTCGTGAGTCCGCAGACATACTTCTTGAAGCAGTCGTCGCTGTCGTTGTCCAACACGTACTCAAACATACGCC